AAAATGAAGGGGGTGGGGGGGGGGGGGGATGGGGGGGGGGGGGGGGGGGGGGGGGGGGGGGGGGGGGGGGGGGGGGGGGGGGGGGGGTGTTTCAAGTGTCAATTAACTCTAACAGAATCCTATTCACCGGTAGACAGAAAAAAAACAATTGAAGTTGTTAAGATTTTAAACAAGCCAAAAATAAAACTCGAGTTATTATTAGGTTCTCGTTTGCCGAGATATATTTTGTTGGAGTGATATGATTACCAGCTAATCAATCTTCTTTACAATTGATTCATACATTAAATTCTAAAATCGCTAAAGGTTACTTTCAATAATGATCGAAAGTTAATTTCGTGAATTTCTCAATTTCCCATCTGGAAAGAACAAAATTACCGTACCGATATTTCAACCGATATTCTAAATACGGTTATGCAAGGAATTTATGAATTCAAAATGCAGTACCAGAAAATTTTCCAATGATTTACATGCAAGGATATCTCGTGGTTATATACTCGGAAAAGGTACATGATTGGCAAAGAAAAAAAAAAGATTTGTATATACATTAACACGCTATGAAGATAGATTTGTCGATCCTCACAATAATATTTTCAAATGTCCTCTTGATTGAGCCGCTTCTACACGACACTACCGCCTTGCACCGGGGTGCATTCGATTTCAGACATTTCTCCATCTTTCTCATCCAAAAAAGGAAGAGTGGGCGAAACTATTATGAGGTCGGGCGTGGCTTTTATGTCGGTAGAGAGCCTGACCATGTCAGAGCTACTTGTATCTTGGGATACATTTTTTATAACATTAATGGGAGTCAATGCATTGTTTTGCAAAACCAATTCATTATTTGTCACCGGCGTATCATCGACCTTGACCTTTTTTCCAGGCAAAGGTGGTAGTGGTTTCGATCTTTTGGCCATTTGTTTTCTCGGTGTTTGGTTACTCGCATCAGCGTTATTTAATTTTGTTGTCTCGCTGATGATGGACATCCTGTTGGTAAAGGATACAGGGATGGTGCAAGACATACTTTGGTTGATGGATGGATACAGTTGGTAATAACGCCCAGAGACCTCAGACAAATCGATCGTATACTCAAACTTGTCCTTGTTCAATTTTTTCAGCATAAATGAATCCGAGTCACCTCTTGACGGACCCCTCGGGAACATATCCCCACTCATTTGTATTTTATTTTGAGAATTCATGAAAATAGTATTGATTTTAAAGACCGGTAGTCTTTCGGATGAATCCCGCGAAGGTCGACTCAAACGAACATAATCATCTTCTTTCAAGAGTTCCGTGCCTAAAAATATAGCTCTGTAATGAGGATAGGATTCCATTTGTTGCAATAATCGTCTTTCATTCGCAAGCTCGATATATTTAAGATAACCATTCGGCAAACAGTATTTATATTCTAATATGGGTGTATATGTCAAAGATATTTCATTCGCCTGTTCGATGGCTTTAAACCATTTGTCCACGAATTCACCACGTGCCGAACTCTTTAACAGATGTGCATTACTTTCAATGTGTGATAGTAATGAATTCTCGGTCGACTGAACCAAATCCTTGGTATTATGAGCTAGCCATGGAATAATAGCGTTCTGCTGCACTCTCTTTGTTCCAGCCAACATTAGTAGCTGCAAAGTGTAGAATACCGTGGCATCTTGTGAATCAATGCTAGTGGAGTTACTAAGATCATGCATCACTCTTGAGCGCTCGCGAACAATCGCCGGCCAATACTTTATCTGCTCGCCCCCATTCTCATTGAGTATTGAATCACGTTGAGTAGAACTTAATACATGCTGAATGCTTGCCCACACAATATCTTCACGTCGCGATTTATTATCTATTTTTGGTAAAAAGCCATCATCTTTAACATTAATGGAAGCCTTGGATTTCCCTTTTTGTGCAAACGACCATTTTTTGGTCGAAGACGTGAAAGCTTCTGATTTAGGTGACTTTAGAGACCTCAAAGTCCCGGAGGGGTATGAAATAACCTTCTGACCATCTTTATAACAATATTTGCATGAGCAAGGAATCTCTTTATCGGAAGCAAGCCACAAAAGATGATCTTCAAATTCTGCGGGTGACCGATATTTAGAACCATTACCTGAAACGTGTTATCTGGTTTAGAGGATACTCTTGCTAGTTAGCAGACACGCGTTATAATGTGAACTCACCGAAAAGATACGTATCCTTCCTTGCAGGTTTGTTTGCCATTTTTGGATACTCTTTGATATTCTCAAATAGTTTGTAGCCCTTTGGAAGGCCAGTTAAAACAGCTTATGTGAATTGATGCAAGATATATATATTAATTTAACAACCACAAGGGAGATATGCTACCAAAGAGAAGCTTCAGTACCTTTTGGTACGATTATACCACTTTTTACCAGAGCTTTACCGAGATAGTCGCTAAGTTTCGATATATATAGTTCAAATTTACTCTCATTTTCGCCAACTAGTCTGTAATGTGATTTGGTGCCGCTGGTGTCGAGCACTGTTGTAACATCGGGATAATTCTTGGGGTTACCGTCAGAGTAGGTTACGGTAAGTCCTTCCTCGTTAACCTCAACATTTATGAAGTTCATTGTGGTTGTCTTGAAGAGCTTGGACGTGACTCACGTCAGTATCTATTATATCTTTAATTAGCCAATCACAAGTGATCATTCGTACGAGGGAGCATTCCAGTCTATTGACTCAGCATCGGCTCCGTCATGTTTGTCATCGCATACCTGCACTCTGTTGACGCATTACGCACATGAGAGACTATGCTATACTAAAACAGGAACATATCACATCACGAGCACACGCGATAAATCTAAA